GGTTTTACACAAGATACCTAGACTGGGCCAATCTGTAAACATGAAAGTTGTACATAAACATATATGAATCTATTAGATGAGTTCAAAATATCCGAGTCCAACTTCGTAATAGGTTTTAGCTTCGCTCTCTTTCATGGAATCAAAATATATAAATCAACATCAACGAAGCACCTAATTGTAGCAAAAACCTGTAATTATTTTGTTACAAAGAGCCGACACACAATAATATAATGTATATTAGAGGAGAGATATATGAGACTATACATGACAATAAAACCCCTCTTTTATGAAATATGAATTGAAAAAAAAAAATTAAAATATAGTACGTACAAATATATATGAGAAAAATTAATTATAGTCTAAGCCTAAACTTGCAGCTACTACTTTGAATCTTAATAACATTATCTGCAGCCAAACTATCCACAAATACATCACATCTAACCAAGAATCTCACCTCCTTTAGCTTCAACTTCCCGAATTTGACCCTAACCGGTTGGTTAACTCTAATTCTCAATGGTATATTCCCGGTTCTTTGTTGCTGCTCCTCTAATGACGTCCTTAAACCCGATGCATCCTGTGTTTCACCAGTCATTTGTACGTATATCACTGTCGTATTTTCATGTCCCTGGTAAAATTTCGGCAACGACCCTATAAAAAAACAACAAAAAGCCAGTTAAATTAAATCTTTAAGAAGATATGTTGTAAACCGATTTCAATCAAACAAGACAACATATATAAATCGGTTTGTATAGAGTTTTGCAACCTTCCTAGTGTAGGTATGAACCAAACTAAAGGAAAACGAACCGGTGTAACTAAGATTTTGAAGCCTTTCTAAGTTTAATTAGGAACAAAATTAAACCAAAGGACAGTGAACCGGAATAAACCAAATGACACGTACCCTCGCTGAGTTTGGTTTGCAAGTACCACACGGTAATCTTGCTCCCATCTTCATAGTAAATCCCGATCTTCTCGTTCGGATTCTTAGCGGTTATGGTCACGTTAAAAGCCGTGGACAAACTCAAATCTTGGTTAGGTGTAAACCGGGTGAGCTGTAACCGGTCAATAGAGTAATCCGGTAGCTTTGGTTTAAAGACAAGATAGAGTATACCAATCGTTGCGCCTATTGCGACAACAAAGAGCAAGAGAAAGCAGAGCGTGTAGCACACGCATCTGCAGCAACAGCTTCTTCCTCTCCTCTTCGGAGGAGCCAACCGGTGTGGCCGTTGGGTCAAAGGGTCTTTGGAAGGGTCTCCGTGTTCCGATCTCGAGGCATCACGTGGAACCAGGGGAGCCGTCGGACGCGCCGGTGAGGCTTCTGGGTCGTGGAGCGGGTGGATTCTCGGGTGATTGGACATCTTCGGAGAATCTTGATTACACAAGAAAAGAAGAGGGAGACTTTGTTTGCAGATCTTGTTTAGGGGTTTGTGAAATATATAAGGAGGAGTTGGAATGCTCTAAGTATATGGGTTTTAAAGTCAAGAAGGAAGAACTTTTCAATGGAGAGACGATCTTCAAGACTTTTATATATAGATAGATACATATAACATATTGCAAATTTGTTTATTGTTTATGTAGGATTTTGTTTTTTTTTAAATAAAAGATTTATGTATGAAAAACGAGTGCATTCGTTTCCATATACGTCACACGTGTATTGCAAATTTGCTTGTATGTTGAGGCAGCGGTCATTTATGGAAATTGAATTTGATGTACCCATAAAAGTATCAAAGTAGGTAGCAAGGATTTATATAATTCATATATGTGAACTTGCGCTAGATAGCAAAGAAAAATATTGACTTTTAGTTTTAGGAATGCAACCATAGCCTTATCAAACAATTGAAAAATGTCTAGCCATTTGATACCTTCCTTTTCAAATACTATTTATTTCCTTCATCTTTACTTCTACTCTGCTCTTTTTATATCCTTTCTCTAAATATGTTTATTTTACTCATCTATTAAATCATCGATATTTGAACTAATCATGTTACAAATAAGAGTTTTTAATAAAAAAAATCCCCTCAACTATCTCCGGATAGTGAAAAATTCCCTCAACTATCCCCGGATAGTGAAAAATCTCCTCAACTATTTTTTTAGTATTAGTAAAAAAACTTCACAACTATACTTCGTTAGTAATTTCAACCCTCCGTCTATAATAACGTTTAATCCCAATAAAAATTGTTGTGTTTTGTTACAAAAACGTCAAAATCTCTTAATTATTGACCAAAACATCAAGTTGTTTACAGAAAAACAACATAAAGTGAATCTTATGACAAAAAAAAAATGTGATCTTAGGTGTACAGGAAATCGTG